ACACACCACAACAACCACACACCACACACCACACACACACAACCACACACCACACACCACACACCACACACCACACACACACACCACACACCACACACACACACCACACACCACACACACACACACCACCACACCACACACCACACACCACACACCACACACCACACACCACACACACACACCACACACCACACACACAACACACACACACACAACACACACCACACACAACACACCACACACACACACACACACACACACACACACCACACACACACACACAACACACACACACACACACACACACACACACACACCACACACACACACACACACACCACACACACACACACACACACACACACACACACACACACCACACACACACACACACACACACACACACACACACACACCACACACACACACACACCACACCACACACACACACACACACACACACACACACAACACACACACCACACACACAACACACACACACACACACACACACACACACACACACACACACACACACACACACACACACACCACACACACACACACACACACACACACACACCCACACACACACCACCACACCCACACACCACACACCACACACCACACACCACACACACACACACCACACACCACACACCACACACCACACACCACACACACACACCACACACCACACACCACACACCACACACCACACACCACACACCACACACCACACACACACCACACACCACACACACACACCACACACCACACACCACACACCACACACCACACCACACACACCACACACCACACACCACACACCACACACCACACACCACACACCACACACCACACACCACACACCACACACCACACACCACACACCACACACCACACACCACACACCACACACCACACACCACACACCCACACACCACACACCACACACCACACACCACACACACACACACACCACACACCACACACCACCACACCACACACCACACACCACACACCACACACCACACACCACACACCACACACCACACACCACACACCACACACCACCACCACACACCACACACCACACACCACACACCACACACCACACACCACACACCACACACCACACACCACACACCACACACCACACACCACACACACACACCACACACCACACACCACAACACCACACACCACACACCACACACCACACACCACACCACACACCACACACCACACACCACACACCACACACCACACACCACACACACACCACACACCACACACCACACACCACACACCACACACCACACACACACACACACACACACACACACACACACACACACACACACACACCACACACACACACACACACACACACCACACACACACACACACACTACATTAATAAACTTATCTTGATTGAGACTGGCTGAATGACAATTGTCCAAGCCAAAACACACACACAAAAAAAAATAGATAGGTGTACTGATGTCTGCCTATTTTTTATTCAAATAATTTTTTAAAGTCATCGCATCTATACCCTGTTTTATAGTACAATATCCCACTGCAGGATAACTACGTTCATAACGTAGTTCATCAAACTTATATTTTTACAAACATTTAAAATTAGGAGAATGCATTGATAATAGGTTTGTCAGTCAAAATTAATTCAGACTGCTTTGCTCATACATCCTTACTAAAAATGTCAATTTAATCAGTTGTTTTTGAGGACCTATTTAGACATCTTGTCTCGAATTAGCAATCCTTGGGAGTCTTGCGTTGCCATGAACTAAATCTGTTTTAAATACAACATCATTTAAATTTATCTACAAATATGTATTAATAATTACAAAATTAACATCATTTAAAGGAAAAAAAAAAGAGGTTAGTCTTCGTAAGTGGGTATATTTATTTAAAAACCCTTAAAAGGGCTACATCAAAAAAACACACGTTTTCGGACTAAACAGTCCATCATCAGGTTTAAAATCGCTAGGTTAAAATGCCTGAGCCACCAAAATATATGGGTAAAAACCCTTTAAATTATAGTTATAAAAGATTATACATCTTGTTGTTAAAAAACTGTGATGTTCAGTATTAAATTAAATATGACTTCAGGTAACATACATTGTTAAATTGAGTTCCAGAGCCGGGGAGTAAACCTCTACGCACGGAGAACAGCTGGAAACTGAAACTGAAAAGTTTCCAGCTGTTCTCCATGCGTAGAGGTTTACTCCCCGGCTCTGGAACTCAATTTAATAATGTATGTTACCTGAAGTCATATTTAATGTAATACTGAACATCACAGTTTTTTAACAACAAGATGTATAATCTTTTATAACTATATGTAATTTAAAGGGTTTTTACCCATGTATTTTGGTGGCTCAGGCATTTTAACCTAGCGATTTTAAACCTAATGATGGACTGTTTAGTCCGAAAACGTTTGTTTTTTTGATGTAGCCCTTTTAAGGGTTTTTAACTAAATTTACGCACTTACGAAGACTAACCTCTTTTTTTGTGATACGTGGTATACAGCCAGCTACAGGAATTGTTTTCCTTGTGGATTTTATCATTTAAAGGATTTTTACCCACATATTTAGTGGGTTCACTTATATATACCTGGTAAGTTTCAACCGCATGTTCTTTAACCTTGGTCAAAATTTAATATTTATTTTTTCTTTCATTAAAGTGTTGACACTTATTTTAGGGAGCTGCATTGATGATAGACTTATTAGTCCGAAAACGTTCTGTAATGTAACCAAAAAGGGCATTTTTAGAATCATTATCATTATCATTCTGGCTTTACAACCCTGCGTGGGCCTAGCCTTTTCAAGAATTTCTCTCCAGTCGTCCTTATCCATCGCCTTCCTCGGTCAAGCACGTATTTCTCATGTCTTCAACGATGGTATCAAGGAACCTTGTTCTGGGTCTTCCTCTTCTTCTTTCACCAATAGGTCTACCAAGGAGCGTTTTTCTAGCTGGGTCATTTTGTTCCATCCGCATTACATGTCCTATCCACCTCAGACGTCCTATTTTAATATATCGCATACATTCGCCTTAGTACTTTTCTTTCGAAATATCTTAACATGTTTTCGTTCCATTTTGTAATCCCAGTCCTAACATATAGGCCAGAGTCCAAGTCTCTGACCTAGATGTTAGAACTGGGCGTATTATTGTTTTGTACAATTTTATTTTTGTATTTCTCGATATAATTGTTGATTTAAGGATGATTTAATTGAGCCCAAAATAGCATCTGTTGGCCGTGCAAACACTGCGGTTTATCTCAGCGTTAGTATTATTTTCAGTTTTATTTATAAAAACTTAAATTATGAAATCAGCGACAACCAACCAGGCTTTAGGCTCTCATCGGAATGAATGTGCTCATACAAAGAAATCTAGATATGAACCAGGATGTCTACACATACTGTATTGTTTTTGAAACGGCTTCCGACAGGGACCAAAACGACAAATTAATTACCATTCTAAAAACAAGTAACATTAACACCCGTTACATCAGACTAATAACAAATTTATGTTAGAATAAGAAGGTTAAAATGATAATCGAAGATCAAGGAACGCACCCAGGTATACAAATTCGTTCACTACTTCAATGACTTCATTTTCTATAACAAGTGGTTGCAGGAATTGTGGTTGCGTGCTTATTTTCATATACTTCGTTTTGTTGTTGTTTATTATTAAACCCATTTTTGTAGCTGATTCTTTTAATACTACATACTCCTCTCATTTATTCTCATATCATCAGCATAGCCAAGGATATGCACTGATTTATTATTGAACAAATTATTGTGATTTGTGACATACGTATTACTTTTTCCAGAGCCAGAACAGTATACAGGAGAGAGGGTCTCCCTGGCGTAGCTTGTTATTTGTTTTAAAAGGTTTAGACAGTTTGTCCTGAATTCGTACTCTACATTCAACATTTTTAAGAGGTAGTTTTGTTTAATTTAACAACTGATTTGGTATACCTAGCTCTTTCATTGCTTTGAACATTTCCCTTCTATTCACAAGAGTCGTAGGCTGCTTTATAGTCTATAAATATGTGACGAGTGTCTATGCCTTATTCCAGTGTTTTTTCTAAAATTTGTCTCAGGGTTGCAATCTGATGAATTGTCGATTTATCACTTCTGAAACGAGAATGGTATTCTCCTACTATACTACTATCCATTCTTTTTAGAATATATATACCTTTTATAAAGGATTTTTTAAATAATTTTCATTTTCCTTGTAAATTTTTTAACAGCATGAAGAAGCACAAAACCAGTTATCTAGGACATGTGTATCAGGGAAGACATTATGAGATCTTGAAGTTTTTGATGGAGGGGAAAATTGAAGGAAGTAGAATTCCAGGTAGGAGATGGTTGAAATCATCAAAGAGTGGACAAGTCTCGATAGTCAATCCTTATTGAGAATCACATAGGATAGAGAAATATTTGTCAAAATTGTTGCCTATCTTCATAAATGAAAAAAAAAGAGCGCACTCTTAAAAATCTTGAAGATTTTCTCAAAACAACTAGAAAAGTTAGGCAGTTTTAGAATTTTGAAAAAAATATATTAGACAAATTTTTATGAAAGGGGAAAATATTCTTTAACTTGTAAAAATGGTCTGGCTAGTCTGGTAAAGTGCTATTTTAGAAACTTGGATTTGTTATGCTTTAATTTTTGTCGTGGGAGCTTAATATCTTTAATAATACCCTTTATTTACCTGTACTTTGATAGGAAGCTTCTGAGACCAAATCTTCATATCGACGATTAAAGGTTTTAAACTAAAAAGTATACAAAATCAATTTTTGAGTGCATTCTCTGATCAATTTGATGAGAGTCGTTCTGAATGTTAAAATAATTTTTGTTATCTGGCGTAACAAGATATTGACAATCAACAAACACTTTTAAATTTCAAAATCCATCCTTTTGACCTTTTGACTTAAAATAATGGTGATAAGTAAAAAGTTTATTTTATTTTTCAGGGATCTGAGTTTCGGTCACTTATATACCATCAGTAAGAGCGATCGGATAGAAGAGCGCACTTACGATGAACCTTATACAGGAGATTTGCCAAGGAGGTCCTGGCTATGTTGTCCTGGATCTCAACCGCATGTTGGTGATGGCGATCAGCCACCATTATTGGACACCGCAACGACATCATCTAAAACTCCATCCACTCCCTTGGCTGAAGCCATCACAAAACCTCCGGGGTATAATGTTTGTTCAGGAACTTGTGTATGTATACTTACTAATACATATATATGTTTTTTTGCAATTTAAAGTTTTAACTGCTTTTTTATTATAAAAAAATTTTGGGAAAATCTTTAATTTTAAAGAGGAATTTTACCTAATTAAAAAAACAATAAATTTACAAAGAAACTAATGCAACAAGTATAAGACAATAAACTGTGGCTAGGTAAGCTCATGTATACAATATTTAAAGATATATAATTATTTATTAGTTACAAATTATGTACAAATCATTTTGTATCGGAACACCTGCTACTATTTATTTATAATTTCTTATTTCTCTTGCACCATTCTTCAAATCTTCTACCTTCATACTTTTTAAGTATTTTTTAACATTGTTACTCCAATGTTTCCTTTGTTTTGATCTTATATTATTTAAAAATGCCGAAGACAGCGGATACCTTGTCTCTTTCCTTGTTTTAATTCGATTTCATCTGAGCTAAATCCTTATCATGCTATTTTGTGTTTTGTTGCTTTTTTGACGTGACTGTTACTAATTGAATTATCATTTTTTATATTCTTAATTCTTCCATGGTATGTAACAGTTGTAATTGTACAAATTTCTTACAACAAATTGGTACAATCAATGTCATTTGTTTTTCGTTTTTCTAGGCTGTCATCAAAACAGAATTAATACAACCTTCTAATCATTGATATTTATGAAATGTCGCAGAGGTTCGATTTCTCGCGTAAATCTAAAAAGGTCGTAACTAAATAATTGGGATTTCAAACAAAACGAAAAATCTCGAAAAGTGATAGCCTCTCGTTTAATATTTAAATGCTCGAAGTGGGAATAACATTATACCAGGCATTAAACAGAAACATAATGAATATATACTAAATTACAATGGCGAGTTAATGATTAATTTCTATTTAACACGTCTGTGTAACACCTCGATGGAGAGTGATTGAGACACACAAAATGAACGAGGACACGTTGCTCTGAATCGGAGAGATGTGCGCGTGGTTCTTTAGATCATTCTTACTTACACATAATTCAAAGAAAAATTAAAAGAAGAAAACATTAGATTATTGTTCAAGATTACTCGAGCTAAAGCAGAAACATGGAATAAACAATGCAAAGAAAACAAGTTTTCTTGTTTAAAAATTAAATAAAAATTAAAAATTTGCCAAAAAGAACACCACTTTGTCTTTTTTGTGAGGGACAAAGAAAACTCAAAATACATATATGAACAAATAACAATAACCGATATACATATATATATATATATATATATATATATATATTATATATCTATATATATATATATATATATTATATATATATATATATATATATAGACAAAGAGTAACAATCACACTTTATGTTGGCTCAGCAAACATGTTAGTGCAATTATTTGTGGTTCAAAAGAAAAGAAGATTATTCGAGAAATTAAAACATACAAAATGGTCGAGTACAAGCCATATTTATTATTAGACAAAACATAGATTTAATTGGACATATTAATTTTGATCTTACAAATTGAAATGTCCATTACAAATTAATACCTTTTTACATCTTTATAGAAAGTTTAGTATACATTTCTCTGTATAAAAATAAAATCTACATTTTTTTTGTAACCATCGAACAACCCATCAGAAAAGGTGGGTACCATTGGGTAACAATATAACTATGAGAACGTCTTATCTTAGATGTAAATCTGAAAATGAGTTTGGCTAAGACAAATAAACCAAGATACTAACTAATTATATTTATTATACATAAAAAAATATAAAACAAAAATTTTAATCTTAAATTAAAATCAAAGTAAACATTTTACAAAAAAGATTTTTAAATGATACTTATGGCTTCTGATGTCTTTAAGTAGTTAGACAGGATTGTAGCATGTAGTTGTTGGTTGGTAGTTCCAGTTGTTGATATTCTCTAGAAACTCCAGAGATATGTTGAGTTCCCATAGCAGCGGCCACCTACTGCAGTATGTTACTTTCAGTGATCGACCATGTGGTTCAGGAAGACCTCGCCAAAAAAGGTGGACAAAAATTGATATTAGGCCAAACAACTATATTAATCACTCTTGAGTTAGCGACTGCATATGTTTTAAAATATTTGCTTGCCAGATGAAGAGTGAAAATTAGAATAGTACATAGCACATAGCAAATTGTCAAGGATAAAATTATATAATTGTTATTGAATGGGTTAGTTAAATTATATTAAAGATACTAACATCATATTTCCAACTGAAAATCCAGCTTAAATAAGCAAAATACATTGCAAAAACCAATCTCCCTTTCTATTAAATTATCCCTACTTCTGCACTGAAGTGACATGATAGAGCAGAGTTGCCAACAGATATACTTTGTCTATTGAAGTGACACGTAGAATTTTATATAGGTTCTATCTCATAGAATATAACGGGGTCTGAATAAATTAATTCGAATATTTAGTGAAAATTAAAATTGGAATTTAGATTATGACATACTATTGAGTAAATAGAAAACTGAATGAAGGGATTAGCGCCAACTATTTTTAAATTTAAAATAGTGCAATAAATGAGACAAGTTAATAAATGAATCAAATCGAAAGAAATTGAAATAAAATAATTATTTAAAGAAAAATAACAACGACTGACGCGACACCTAAGGCCTTCATCTGACAGTTTTGGACCTCCCAATTTTCAGGTTAAACATGTGACATATGTTTGACATTCTTAAATACATGCGAAATTGACAATTATTAATAATTAGTTTTTTAATTATATTTTTTCAGTTTATGTACAAAATAAATGTAGTATTAAAAACTGGGTTTCTCAAAATTCATCATAATATATCTTTTCAACCACAAACGGAGAAGATAGGGAAACATCTAGTATTGGCAAATCAAGTTTTTTACGTGAAAGAACATATAATTAAAAAACACTAATAGTAAAAGTTATGATATAAAAACTAAAGTCATCAGGCACTCTGCAGTTAGCTTCAAGCCTTATGAAATATCATTTAAATTTTTCTTATTTCAATTGCATAAAAATAAAATTAATGATATTTACTTTTTCATATTAATAACATCATTTTCTTTTCTATAATTTATATGTAATCTTTGAACACCTATAAAAATAACAGTTACTATTTTTGCTATTATTAGCACAATTAACATGTATTTGCATATATTTTTGATAAAATTTGTGCGTAAAAATATAGGTCCAATTTTGTCATATTTCGCCGCTACGCACGCTGGCATCGTTTCAAGGTACCCCTACCATGGTCACGCATGGAGCGAATAACGTTACATTTTTATTAAAGATATTGTTGTACAATTTTGTTTACAGCTATGTGGAGACACTTTTAATCCAGTGACGTGATAATATTTGCAATAAAAAATCTCTAATAAAAATTTCCCATTACGATTACGATACGATTTTGTAGATTTACATTTTGCCCAGAGGTAGATATTTTCTGACTATCCTCAGAGCTATGGTCAAATAAAAGTACTGCTACTAAAGTACTGCTACTAAAAAAGGGTCCCTTTGGTGGAAAATATAATATTTTTTCTTTAAAAGTTTAAAACACTTAGCATTAGACTCCACAAAAAAACATATTAACCAATTTGTTTATGATGTGGATATAAGTATCCGACCAGCTGGATGGAGTCAAACACTGTCTCTAAATTTGTGTTTCTAATCTAACTAAATTTTCCCCTGATCTGTCGCTGTATGATAAGATGTCAAATTTCGTATTTCAATGTACCTCGTAATGTGACCAAAATATTCCAGCTTTCGTATTCTATTTATATTTGATCCATATTCATTTTATTCATTTATAAATATTAAACTTAATATGCAACCTAATTATAAACCAAATGTTTTAGGTCTAATGCTCATATTTAATAAGGCATCTAAAAGAACAACCCCAATATGTTTCAAGTGGAACATGGTTAGTTATTTATTTACATTTACAACCCGAACACAAATAGTATTTACTTCTAGCTTTAAACAAACGTTAGGTCCTATTTAACCGATTCGGGAAAACAGCGTTGTTTCCCACGTGGGAATCCATTAATTTAGCCAGCAACCCCACAAACCCGTAATGGCCACTGTAAATTTAGAGAAGCATCGTGATGTGCATAATAGCAGAGCCGGCTCTTGATCCTCTCTCCGAAGTATAAGTCTATACTTCACAAATCATTTTAAATTGACCGCAGAGTTTATAGATGATAGAAGCTTTAACCAATAGGATCACAGCAAAATTGATTGCAGACAAGATTAAATTTAATTATGGAGGACATTTGTTAGATTTAGAAGAGCATCGGAAATATGAACCCAATGTTTTGGAATTTAAGAAAATAGAAATTTATGCAGACGGGACAATTATAGTTTATTTTTATGAACGAGAGAGTAATTAGCATAATTTTAAATGGTACATCCGACCACTCCATGGGCGTGCTCAAGATTAATTGAAAAATTACTTTGAATAATTGTAAAAAATAAATGAATTATTTCAGTGTTATAAAGTGTTATGTATATGTAAACAAAAGTGACATCTTTTATCACACACTATATTAGAACTGACTGGCCTACATTAAAAAGGGTTTTAAAAAATTCACATTTTTTTTAATTTTTAAAAATTACAAAAGAGAAAAAGAGTTTTTAAAACCGTCTAAGGTATGTTAAATAGATGAATAAAAATATTAATATAAAACTTACAGCTACTTGTTACAAATCCAAATCAGATTCAGAAGATGAACTTTCAGAACCAAGATTTTAATAACTGGCTCGATCATTTTATCAGTAATATTGTCCAGCTTCCACATTTTTTCCTCTTCTTTAATAGTGTGATTTACTACCTTTTCCCAGTTTTCAGGTTTTACATTATTTACGGCCTCCAAAAACAACTGTTTAACATCATGAATTTTAAAAGTGGTATTTTTTCTTGAAACTTCACTCTTTATCTGTGCCCATACCAGTTCAATCGGGTTTAATTCACAATGATATGGTGGGGATCTAAGTACTGTCATTCCACGATTTTTGGCA